TCACTGATGTCGCAGTTCTTTCCAGTGAAACCCGGTGGGCAGGTGCAATCGTAATCGTCCAACAGATCTTTACATTTGCCACTATTCGCACAAGGATTTGAGATACARTCATCGGGATCTGATAAACACAAATGAATAGAGTCAATTTCRTATGAGTGGGAAACGGACGGTACTGTACTKTRACCGTAATCGTACTGTAACCAAATTCTAGTGKCTCATTGCTTCACAAAAATTGTGCTGGCCAGGTCCGGTAACTGTGCGGTAATTTCTACCGTACAGGTCCGGTAACTGTGCGGTAATTTYTACCGTACGTTTACCACTCATACGAAATTGACACTAAGTGAAAGWTGTTTTAACCCATGCATTACAGTTACACTGCAATTCTTAAAGATCCTTCAATACGGCACAACGTTTCCTCAATATGTCTACGACTGTCGTAAGGGCTATTAAGGCCGAATTAGAAGTAAAAACGTTTGCCTACAACCATCGTGCAACCTGCGTAAGTCATCCTTACAACATGGCTACAACTGTCGTGGGGACTACTAAGCAATTGTTTTAATCCCTACGACAATTGTAGCCATGTTGTAAGGATGACTTACGCAGCTTGTCTGCGGTGGTTGTAAGTAAACGTTTTGTGCCGGTCTAATTCAGCCTTAAGTCATTCTCAACATGCCTACAACTGTCGTAAGGGCTATCAAACAACTCTTGAATCCAAACAACAGTGGTAGTCGACCTGGGCAGGTGGCATGCGATGTTTGTAATGTGGCATGTACCATAATATTGACTATTCTTTCAATTTCAGTAAAGTCGTGGATAGCCTCGAATCTATGTGTAAATTGATCGTGTATTTTATTGTTTTCTATCCTAGGAACAAGGCTATTCCGGCCTGTACTGAATTTTGAGAATAGTCARTTCATCGGTAACATACACACGACATGACAGTTTTATGACTTACTTGTTTCACATCTTGTTCCTGTGTATCCAACTGAGCATGCGCAGGTGTACTCGTTCACACCATCGGTGCAGATGCCGTTATTTTGACAGGGATTTGATTCGCATTCATCGCGATCTAAATGTGAAAAATAAATTAAACTATTAATTTTTGATCATACTTTATTTTGTAGATCGAAAACGACGTACGGTTGATTAGATCATAAGCGATCATTTGATCATCATAGTGAAAAAAAGTACACTTGATCAATAGAATAGAACACTTGATCAATAGAATAGAACAATTGATCAATAGAATAGAACAATTGATCAATAGAATAAAACACTTGATCAATATAATAGAGCAATTGATTAATAGAATAGAACACTTGATAAATAGAATAGAACACTTGATCAATAGAATAGAACAATCGATCAGTAAAATAGAACACTTGATCAACAGAACAGAACACTTTATCAATAGAATAGAACACTTTATCAATAGAATAGAACACTTGTTCAATAGAATTGAACACTCGATCAGTAGAATAGAACACTTGATCAATAGATTAGAACATTTGATCAATAGAATAGAACACTTAAACAATTTAAAAGAAAATTTAATTCATCATCGAAAGATTAGAATATTGAACTTACTGATTTCACATTTGATTCCCTCGAAGCCAACTTTACAACTGCAAGTATACATGTTGTTTCCGTCGCGACAAGTTCCACCATTTTGACAAGGACTGCTTGCACATTCATCGATATCTAACAAAATAAAAAAAATACTCTTATTAAAAAGTTAAATCAAATCAAAATTACAAAAGAAAGTTGAGCTTACTGATTTCACAGTACACTCCGGTGAACCCGGGTGCGCATGCGCACCCATAACTGTTAATTCCATCTGTACATGTAGCACCGTTTGTACAGTTGTYGTTTACACAATCGTCGATGTCTGCAAACAACAAATAAATCAATGTTTAATTCAAATATTAATGATAATAACGATGATGATGATTAAAATTATGATGTGACGATGATAATTACGAAAGATAATGATTCCAATGATAACAATGATGATATTGATAAATAATGATTATGGTAACGATGATGATAATGAAAATTATAATGATTCCAACGATAATTATGAATATAATGATTCCAATGATGCTGTTAATAATGCATTTTTTTAAATACTTCTTGCCGTCTAGTTAGTATGGATGATATCTTCCAGCGAATGATTATAAATGCTAAAAATAGTGATAATAGTTTACATACTTGTCTCACACAACGACCCAGTCCACCCTCTTGCACATGAACACGTGTACGAGTTGACGCCATCAATACACGTGCCCTTATTAAGACATGGGCCTGATTTACACTCGTCAATATCTAAACATCAAGAGTTCTTGTTCTTAGTATCAAAATCACAATAAAGTCTGCTTATATAATCACCTGAAACCCAGGCCCTACAATCCAGGGACTTAAAGAATCATAACCAACCGCCGTACCTTGCGAGCCGAAGCGCCATTTTAGGTGGACACGAAAATGGCGGATTCGTAGGATTTCTTAAAGTGAGCGCAAATCGTCTTCCGTCCTTTCAGTTTGGACAGAAATACATTTAACTAAGTACCTCACAGGTACTATCAATCTATAATTTATTGTATGCTTGACGCATTTAAACGTATGTGAACAATAATACGAGCGCGCAAGGTGCGGCGGTTGGTTATGATTCTTTAAAGCGGATAAAGTAGCATAAAATCAACTTTTGCATGGTTAAGAAGATAAATTTAACACCGTAAATGTAGGTTGAACAACTAACTGACGTTTCGGACGTTAATCCTTCATCGGAGTCAAAAAAAATCAACCTTGCTCCCATGCCCTTATCCCTTCGCTTGGGATAWAAAGGCCTGGGAATGAGTTTGGTCTCAAATCAATGTCTTTTTTTTTATTTCAAATAAAGTATCTTTGCACCCTTAATAATAAAGCGATTCCATAAAAAATAGATCTCTGAAGCTTTTACGCAATGCAGTGCAATTGTAGGATATRTTTGGGACAAAACATGGCGGATTTCTTTTGTTTTCTCTTGAAACTGACCCCACAATGCATTGAAAGTCAAGTAGTGACGTAAAAGGTTCAAAGGTCAATCTACATAMACTATAAACACGGCAGTTTTTGACTTACTTGTTTCACAACTCTTTCCAGTAAAACCAGCCTTGCACGAACAGCGATAATCATTGAATCGATCATGACACGTACCATCATTCTTGCATGGATTGCTCCGGCATTCGTCAATCTCTATAAAACAGGATAATATAGCGATTAGATAAACTGCGGCCCCGTCCACACAAGTCCAGAGATGTCATGCCCGAAAATGTTTCGATTTGGATACAGTTAGAGTCCGTGTCTCTGTGTGTCCACTGTGTACGTTTTGTCTCCTGAGATTACTGTATATGAAAAAAACAAAAATATCTGGACTGGGCGACTCGTTTGGACGAGGTTTCTATGCAACAAATTATGGTAGTGTAGTGGACTTTTTTCAATATGCACGCTTAGTTATTCTCCTAAAGTTATTATTATTTATCACAATGTACGTTTTTGCAAATAATGCAGCAAAAAATGAGAAATAGGAATATTACTCAATAGCTTCCACTACATTCTCAAATCATACATTATTGTRCAAAAAGGCAAACCCAGAGTCTATAAATGTGAATGGGGCGACACACGTTTGGCTTATAAACATCGCATGTAACAAAGTGATCCTTACAACATGGCTACAACTGTCGTAGGGCTATTAAATGATAATTTTGAATATCTACAACAGTTGTAGGCATGTAAAGACGACTTGGGAAGGTTTTTGTGCCAAGGTTTTCAGCAAAAGTTGTGCTATGTAATGCGACTTTGACGCACCCTTTTCACAGCGCCGTCCTTCGCGCCCGGCTGTACAGTTACACCTGAATCCGTTCACCTCATCGATACATGTTCCACTGWACAKGCATGGATTGGACTTACATTCATCATTTTCTAAACAAATCAAGTAGAATTTAATTAGCAAATAATAAGTTGAATTAAATTGACAAATTAACTAATTAAAGTAACCAAGCAAATAATAAGTTGAATTAAATTGACAAATTAACTAATTAAAGTAACCAAGCAAATAATAAGTTGAATTAAATTGACAAATTAACTAATTAAAGTAACCAAGCAAATAATAAGTTGAATTAAATTGACAAATTAACTAATTAAAGTAACCAAGCAAATAATAAGTTGAATTAAATTGACAAATTAACTAATTAAAGTAACCAAGCAAATAATAAGTTGAATTAAATTGACAAATTAACTNTAGACTACGTACTTGTCTGGCATTTTCGTCCTTCAAATCCCGGTGCGCAAATGCAAGTATAGTTGTTTAGCCGGTCGAAGCAGGAAGCTCCGTTTACGCAAGGATTGGGCTTACAGTCGTTGATGTCTGAAATACGGAAAAACATATTCAGATTACTGAAGTATGGCTGTAATAACACAACGAAAAAAAAGTAACGTCAAAACGTAACGCAATGGAAATAYGTAAAAAGTAGCGTTACGTAACATAAAAACGTAACGCAATGTAAGTACGTAAAATGTACAGTTGAGTAACGTMACAACGTAACGTAATGTAAGTACGTAAACATACCGTTAAGTARCGTAAAAACGTAATGCAATGTAATGTAAAAACGTATCACTTAGTAACGAAAAAATGTCGCGCAATAACGTAAAAACGTAACATCATAACGTAAGAAAGTATCGCATAGTAAATACATAAATACGTAATGTAAAGTGTCGTAAAAACGTAACGTAATCGTTCGCCGTACTTCATCGCTACCAGTAATGCATCATAACCATGATCTAACGTAACGTTATGTAACGTAAGCCAATTACTTACTGACATCGCAGTTCTTTCCGCTGTAACCCACATTGCAAAGGCATTGGTAATCGTTTGGTTTGTCGGTGCATTTTCCATAGACACACGGATTCTTAGCACAGTCATCAATATCTAATAAACAAAGAACAAACCATGCAGGAAGTAAAGAAACAAACCGGAAGTAGGGTAAACCGGAAGTAGGGTAAAACCGGAAGTAGGGTAAAACCGGAAGTAGTGTAAAACCGGAAGTAAAATTATAGTCAAATATAAAAACGTAAGTGAAGCTACTTCAAAGAACACTAATGGAGCTGAAAGAGGAATGGCGCTGGAAATTTAACATCTATACAAACGAAGCACCARAATTCGTACGTAAGGACGGAAATTAGAACACCGGAAGTGGTGAGCTTCCGGAAGTATAATAGTATATATCACCGGAAGTTTAAACGATTAGAATGATTGGTTAATGCTTACCAATTTCACAATTTTTGCCTTTGAATCCCTCGAGGCATTTACACATGTAGTCATTCTGTGAGTTTACACAGCGGGCTCCATTCAGACATGGTTTGGATTCACATTCRTCGATATCTTGATAGATTGAAAATGTCATTTTCGATAGTACATTTGGGAGAATCTATGTAGCACTCAGTTGATGTAATATATTCATAAAGATATAATACAAAACACATAATACAATAGAWCGAGAAACAATGGAATACAATAYATTTTATGAATACATTACATCAACTGCRTRCTACGTAGGTCACCCCTAGTACATTTACACATACCCTCCTCTAGAGGTTCTACTGGGTTCGGAGGAGGACCAGTTTACTTACCRCTCTCACACCTTCTTCCTGTAAAACCAGCACGGCACATGCAGATAAAGTTGTTAACGCCGTCGTTACAAGTAGCTCCATTAAAGCACGGATTGCTACTACATTCATTGAAATCTAAACAAAGTCGCGAAAAAAAAAAAAAAAATGAGAAAGAAAATCACATAAAAAAAAATTAAGAAAGAGATAGACAAAAGTTGATGGCTGACTTTTAAGGCTAAATTTGACGCAACAACTTTTGCCTAAAACCACTGAATGCAAACTGCGTAAGTCATCCTTTCAACATGGCTACAACTGTCTTAGTGATTAAAGCAATTGCTCAACAGCCGCACGACAGTTGTAGCCATGTTGTATGGATGACTTAAGCAGGTTGCATGCGAAGGTTGTAGGATTTTAACAACATAAAAATTAAGGTTTTGTAAAAGAAAAATCATACTTTCTTCGCAATGTCTTCCATTAAATCCAGGGACACATCGGCAGCGGTAGCCATTAACCTGGTCTTCGCATGTTGCTTCATTTTGACATGGATTCGATTCACATTCGTTGATCTCTAAAGTGGGAGTAAAGTCACAACAAGATTTAATGATAAAATTATAATTTATATAAAAATAATGAGAGTGCCGTCAGTAATGATGATGATGATGATAATGATGATGATAACGATAATGATGATGATGATGATAATGATGATGATGATAATGATGATGATGACAATGATGATGATGATGATAATGATGATGATGACAATGATGATTATAATGATGATGATGATTATAATGATGATGATGATGATGATAATGATGATGATGATAATGATGATGATGATAATGATGATGATGACGATGATGATAATGATGATGATAATGATGATGATGATGATGATGAAAATGATGATAATGATGATGATGACAATGATGATGATGATGATAACGATAATGATGATGATGATAATGATGATGATGATAATGATGACAATGATGATGATGATGATGATAATGATGACAATGATGATGATGATGATGATAACGATAATATGATGATGACAATAATCATTGTGATGATAACGAACACATATTTACCGGTTTGACAGTTATTTCCCATGTACCCTGCGCGGCAAGAACATCTGTAGCCATTCACCTGATCTTCACAGGAACCCCCGTTTTGACAAGGACTTGATSCGCACTCGTYGATATCTGGAAACARAAWAATCATCATCAACCATTAAAARCTCACRCAAAAYAATTGCTAAACGACCCTTGTTACATTGAGCAATTCYTCAACAACTTCTGTCGCAACAGCGTTGCGTCGCTGGGAATATAGCACGGTGTATAAGCGTGTTTTTCCCCACAGTAGGAATATTACTAACCTTTTTCGCATCTACGACCTGTGTATCCAGGTTTGCATKTGCATTCGTAACCATTTACCAGATCTTTGCATTTACCTCCATTATGGCATGGATTAGGAGAACACTCGTCAATATCTAACAAGAACGACATTAATAACATGAATAATGATAATGAAATRATAATAATAAAAACAATTAGAACTATAAAAATATTATACATTGTAACCTCGTTATCCCGGCCATCAAAAGAACATCAAAAAATGTCCGCATTAACGAGGTGGCTGTSTTCACMGGACAAAAAAGCATGACGATTTAAAACGCTTAGATCTAAAAGTCCGGCCGGGTGACCGTAGACGGGGTTCAAATGTAACAGCAATAAAAACAACAATAATAACAATTATTAACAAAGATTTAACGAGTATTGAGTACGAGTTCCGAGTACCTTTTTCACAGTTGGTTCCTGTGTATCCTGGAGCGCATGCGCACGTGTAGCCATTAACTTTATCTTCACACGTTCCGCCATTTTGACAAGGACTAGATTGGCACTCGTCAATATCTACAGAAATAGCATTAAAAAATGTACCAGTGAGACCAAAAGCACTGGAAATTTAAGGATTTTTTAGTATTCAATTAAGCGGTTAGCGTCAAACCTATATGTTCAGAGATAAATGGGGCAAACTGATCATGCGCGAATCATTTTACAAAGCGCTCAAGTCATCCCACATTGAATACGCATAAAGAAAAATAGAAGCGCTCTTGGCTGTTCACTGCAATCGGTTGACATCCTGCATTGGTCAATGATCAGGTTTCAAACCTGAGACCTTTGCTAGGGTCATGGACCTTTATATCTGATAAAGGTCACCCTTATTAATATTCTTTATATAAAAAATACTAGAGCACAAACATTAAATGTGTGCAACACTTTCCACTATTTACTACAAAATAGTATTAACTAAACAATAGAAAACAATAGAATTAGCATAATTTAACATAATTTAGTGGTATTTATGTTGCACAGTTTTAGTGTTTGTACTCTAATAAGGAGTGTTTTATCAGATATAAAGGTCCATGCATGTGACCAAATAGACTCATTTTATTGTTCTAGTAGYCCATTAATTATGTTTAAGTTTTTGGATGTGACTTAAAAAAATACTTATCGTTCAGACCTTACGTTCTTAAACCGACATACAACATTCGACATACATAACATTCGACATACAACACGTAACACAAACGCAACAAAACATTGCAGTTCAATAGTCTCCTTCACGGTTCCCTACGCCATCTTGAAAGTTCCGTTGACCGTGCAATGATAGATACCTGTGAATAATTGTCTATAGGCGTGAAAGAAGGTTTCTATCATTGCAAGCTCAACGGCACTGCTACCTTTCAAGATGTCGCAGTGAATACTATTGAGAATTTGAAAACATTATTATCAAAACCGTTCATCATAATGACATTAGAGCCTTACTTATGTCACATGTAGACCCTGTGTAACCAGGTGCACAGTTGCATTTAAAAGCATTGACTAGATCATCGCAACGGCCGTTATTCTTGCAGGGGTTAGGCTTRCARTCATCCTTGTCTGTAGGAAAGAAAATAAGAATTGAATCTTCGTGAGCTGGCCCTCCAGGTACTAACAAATACGAAGTTAATAATTGCMAATCTGTTTTTTARAATAATATATGTCGCGCGAGTAGAGGAATTACTCGCGCACTCGTTTTCGTACTCGTGTAGGTACTCGTTTCCCTACTCGAGAATATACTCGCATTTTTACGCTCGTAGGTACTCGTTTTCCTTACTCATGTGTGCACTTGTTTTTGTCATAACCGGAGTCATAAGCAGGGCTCGAAATAACGACAGGTGAAAGGACAATGTCCTTCCAAATTTGCTAGTTCACCGGCAAAATGGGGTTTTGAAAGTACAAATTTAACCTGACACATTTTTAGACAAATAAAAAAATTAATTCCCAATTCGCTAAATAAATCTTTTACAAGCCATTAAAATGCTTGCCGATCTTTCTGAATACAAAAACCTCTCAATTAAAAGAAAATAATAGTATAATAAAGTTTTTGTCCTTTCAAAATTCGATATGACCTTCAAAAACGAATTTGAAAGGACATCGTGTCCTGCATATGTCTGTCCGTTATTTTGAGTCCTGATAACCGTCATTGACAGACCCTATTATTGAACGTTTCTTACCGTTTGAGCATTTCTGCCCCTCGTACCCAGGAGCACACATACAMGTGAACATGTTAATCCCGTCAACGCATGTTCCCCCATTCTCGCAAGGGTTAGGAGCACATTCATCCTTGTCTGTGGAAAAAAAAATATGAATGAACAAAAAACGAATAAATTAAAAAAAGAAGAAAACGCAAACTCGAGAATGTAATCAGAAAATAGGTGATTTCACATTTTTTTCTAGTTTCAACAGTTTAATCGGCATTTACAAGAATTCTGTTTTGTTTTGTTTTAGCTTGAGTGATTAAACTGTAAAATTTCTCTTACTTGTTTCACAGTTATGTCCAATGAAGCCCGGCACGCATGCGCACTTATAAGAGTTAACTTGGTCGGTACAGGTACCGCGATTTTGACATGGATTCGATTCACATTCATTAATGTCTGAAACAAAAACACGATTAACATTTTCTTCATTTAAGAACAATTTTTTTATCATTATCACACCTTATATTATCATCATCATCACCATCATCATCAATACCATCATCATCATCACTATCATTATCATCATCATCATCATTATCATCATCATCATTATCATCATCATTATCATCATCATCATCATCATCACCATCATTATCATCATCATTATCATCATTATCATCATCATCATCACCATTATCATCATTATCATCTTCATCATCATCATCATTATCGTTATTATCATTGTCACCATCACAATCACTAATACTATCGAAAACATCAATTTCTATCAAATCGTTTACCTGTTTCACAGTTTTTGCCAGTATATCCTGCTAAGCACTGACAATTGTAGTTATTGACAGCATCAGTACATTTCCCTTCATTAACACATGGGTTCGAATCGCATTCGTTGATTTCTATACAAAACACAGGATAGTTAGACATG